ATTTTTTAAAATGCATTTTCTCTCTCTTATTTTTAACTACACATTTTTTAATAAAATAATATTACACGAAAATTCAAATTTTTTTCTTATTTTTCGATCACACATTCTCTATCAATCAATTATTCAAAAATGTATGAAAAATATTCCTATTTATAACTACACATTTTTCAAAAAATCATTATTCCAAGTTCCAAAACCTATTTCCTATATAAATAGGTTACAAACATGGCCATATATCCATGCCATTTTTAAATCATTGACTATTTTCAATGTTGAGATTTAAAATCATAAAAACCACGAGATAAGAGTTAAAACAAATTTAGATTGATCGGAACAAGTTTAAAAATATTAGCGAGAATGACTGGAAAAGTAAAAAACAAGACCATATATAATTGTATTATTATGAAAAAATCCAATTTTTTTGTAGAAATAGTCGATCATCAGGCCACTGTTTGATAATTATTAAAACGAAATTCTTTTTTTTTTCAAACTCATTTCGATTACACATTCTCATAATAAAATATTATGTAAAACTAAAAAAAAAAAATTCTTCCTTTTTACCATATATTCGCTAAAAAATCACTACTTCAAAACCAATTTTCCCCAAAATTTTCATTATAATTGTTGTCAAATAGGGACTAAATCCGTTAATAAAAGAAAATTACCAAATTTTAAATTGAAGTAAATCCATTAATAAAAGAAAATTGCCAAATTTTAAATTGAAATCCAAAATAGTCAGCAAACATAATCCCAAATTTTGCCACCTCGAAAATCGAAATAAAATATAGCTTATGTTCAGTAGAGATTATCAAATTTAGTAAATTTGATAAAAACTGATGAAATATGTGGATCATATGAAATATATAGTTACTTTGAGTTTGACATAAATTAAAGTTAAAATTTTAATCTCTATCAATTAGGGCATAATATGAGAAATAACATCAGCTTAAGCTGAGGAAGTCGGAGGCAGCGGCTAACCGGCTAAGCCGAATTTATAACTGAAGTAAAGCCTGGCAAAAAGACCATAAATGGGTCAGCGGTATACTGCAAGGAGTTGGTGTATTTTCATGACGCAGTCTAACGCGGAAAACGGGTCACTTTCTATGGGGCCCATATTTGGGACTCCGACGCGAAACGTCAAATTTGGAGTTTGGATATTTCATATTTGTGGACGGAAAATTGTGGGGAAAGAACTTCTGTTCTGTTCTGTTTTATTTTTTTTTGTTGGCTATGGCCCACCATTTAAAGGATGTATTCAAATTTTAAATGGATCACCAATTTAAGCATTTATTTATTATTAGAAAATTAGAAATTTTTATGCTTTAAAAATATAATTGACGGATAGATTTATGTATTTATATTTTTCTTGAATTAATTATTATTATTCATATAAAATTTTAAATAAAATTGTTTTACCTTATTATTTATTTATTTATTTTGGTTATTACGCTGCTTTTTCAATATGTCAACTACAGCCTTGAACAAACTCTACAACTGACTAAAAGAAAATTTTGGGCAATCAAAACATTAAAGAATGTCATATGTTCGATCATGTCTTAATCTAGAAAATTGCCAAAACATTAATATGGTCATTGGACTCAATTCATTATTGAAATATTTTAAAGAGGTTCCTCGCGAGCCACTTAATTTTTCTAACCCTTACCGCCCAACTTGATGAGATAATTGATAGCTACCCCCACTCTGAATCACCCATCCAATTCTAACAACATGGCACGACTTGATCAGTGGCCAACTTGCAACTTTTAGTGCCACGACTCACACCTCCAAAACCGTGTGACCAACATGAGACCATAACTTCTAGCCTCCTATAGCACCACGATACAAGCCACCGTCTCTTCATATTCTCAACATCCCGAGAGAGATGTCATCATTTCAGGGAGGGGGATAGAGATGGAAGAGATATAGCTCACAACTTAAAAAGACTCAATTGAGAAGAAAACTATGGTTGATCCATAACTATTGTACAAGCTGAATACTGTTTAGGAATTGGGGTACGTTTATCAACTCTTAGCGAACTGAAACATCTGAGTAGCTAAAGGAAGGGAAATCAACCGAGACCCCGTTAGTAGCGGCGAGCGAGAGCGGATTGGGTCTTAAACTGTGCCTGGCTGCAAATATCGGGATTTGCCATTTCTTAAAACTGAGATCTTACAGTTTAGCATCTATCCAGCCAGTTACTGACTGATTTAGGCATAGCAATTAATTGGGGGTCTTTTGCACAGCTTGTCCACAACTCACTATGGAACAATGTTAAACACCAATCGGAAAGGGGGAAAGGAGAAAAAAGAAGCAGCAAATACTGCTATAATAATCAATACAAGTGAAATAAGAAGCCTATACTCACGTATCATTCCATAGCATGTCAATTAGCTAAACCCAAGGAGGAAGCAAGGAAAAAATACCTTGTCGGAGAACCTGTAATTCAACTATATGAAAAACTGGAAACCAAATTCAGTAAATTCATATACAGTGATAGAAGTACTCGGGGTACTTGAAAACTCACATTTGCAGACATATCTGCCAGAAATATTGACCTAAATTTGTTATATCATTTTACATAACCAGAAGAAGAGCTTATAATCACCTTTACATCTGCTTCTACTGTCAGGCATATTTACGCAATGTTGGAAACTCCGACAAAGAAAATATCCCAGCATGGAAGGGGAAGGGGGGAAGAGAAACTTGTTACTAGCCACAACGTAAAACTTGATATTAGCCAATTACATTACATCCATAACTTACCTACACGTAACTTCTAGCACCAGTCATAAAACCAAAACACCCAATGTAGGGGAGTCATCTGGGAAGTATTTGAGATGATGTCAGAACAATTGGTTAGCATTAACACCATGTATCTGCAGAGTATAGCATAGCCCATTAGTGTCCATTGATTGACATGTGGTTGCAAGTAAAAAGGACGTGGTGGATTTATAGAATTGAGTCATAATAGTTTCCAAAAGATCCAAGAATATTTTATTTTATTTTTTTTGCCTTCAAAGGGAAATGTTCATCAGCCATATTTCAAGATTGCCACAGAGAACTATTATTGTTCATCATGAGGAAATTGCAGATAATTCAATAAAACGACTCTACAAACCTCAAGAGACTTTCTAAATAAACAGAACACTGTGAATGCAAGGCTGGCAGAAGATATCAGAAAAGGAACAGTGAAGAACCAAGGCAACCTTCTTGCCTAGTGACATCTCCACATAAAAGAAGTTCTTCATAATCGATAAGTTGATAGAGAGAAGAAACAACCACTATAATTTGAAAGAGGGGCGAAACAGAGAAAACAACTGACAAGAAATTTTATCGCACAATACAATAACATAACCTTCTGCAGATGAGCTCAAAGCAATGTGATCAAAGTAACTAACAGAAAAATATAAGACATTCTTAACTTGTACTAACCAGCCAATGTTGATCATCTGTCATGATTTCTTGAACAAATGACGGTGTGCCACCATCTCAGGTATCCCCAATGCTGAAATGCCTTCACACAAAAGCTCTGTCCATTAAATTCATATTCAATCCATCATTTTCTTCTTTCCTCATCCCTGCTTTAAGACATTCATATGAGCCAAAGCACCATAATCAAGATTTGTCAATTTGCATAACAAAGCCATTTGCTAATTAAATTATCTAAGAATCAGTTTTGCTTAGCGTGAAAAATAATTTACCATAACGGAGCA